GGAATCGAACTTCAAACTGCACCGCACCGTCACATCGCTTGCGCAGCTACATCGTATCGCATGCATACACGTCATGGTGGACAGAGACCGGACAAGAGGAGTGACCACCGCGTGAGCGGCCGCCTCGCACTCAGCCGACAAACACACACAGAACCGAGTAGTGCTTACTTCCAGCTCGGCATCTTCGTCCAACGTGCCAGGCACATTCGACGTGTCGCTCCAACGTACGAACTTCGGCTGAGTTATTTTAACGTCGTGCACATCTTCGGACTGCTTTCGTGACATTAGGCGTAAGTAATAAAAGCGAAGGGCATCGCTGGACATTATGACGATTCGGTAGCGATCGAGCAAACAGCACAGCAAAATACCGGCCGGCTGCAGAGACCGTTTCGACTAGTCTGCGTGTTTTGCCGTCTGTTTCTGCCCGCCTATGCCTCTGTTCCTCTGACACGCACCGAACGTTGCTTACATTCAAAATACGCCGTTGTTCTGTAGGCCGCCGCCTGAGTCGACTCAGGCAGGGTCAGTCACTCTAAGCTGCGGCACCACGCAACCTTCGAAAGTGACAACTGTGCTGAATCGGTGGCTCGGAGGCTCGGAGGTTCGGTGGCACGGTGCACGGTGACAAGATCACGGAGTCTCGAGTGTACCGGACGCGAGCGGCTGCAGCAGCGACTGACGACGATGACTGTCATGACGTTGAACGCTCGGATGCAGCGTGACAAGCGCATACGAGGCAAGTCGGTAGTCGATCGGTAGCCGACAACAAAACACCGAACAACAACGCATCAAGACGAAGCAAGGGCTGAGCTGAGCGGTCACAAAAGACGCAAGTCAGAAAACGGAAACCAGCCAGTGACGTGACGAACAAGAACGAAAAGGTTGCGAGGCGACTCGAGCAAAGGGATGAGGACGAACGCAACGAGGGCAACCAGGGCAATGAGGACAACGAGGAAGTTAGACGAAAGCTACCATTGGCGAAGGGGAACGGTCGCCGCGCGAAGCACACATCTGAGGAAAATAATCCGCGTCAAAAGCACAAATCATCACGACGTGATCGGCGCAATGAGCTGATCGGCGCTCGTTCGTTCGCAGCCGAAAACTCGATCGTATGACACGGGTGAGGACGACGAGGATGAGGATGAGAACGAAAAGAACGACGAATAACAATGGATGATAACGGAGGACGACGAATAAGTCAATGTGGACATCCCATTTCAACGTATTAAATATGCACAGCGACGGCGACGGCGAGGACAGTGAGGACGGTGAGGACGACGAGTTCGGCGACGATTAGCGTATCGGATGGATGGATTTGCGTATCGTCGTCAGCGGTGGCGTGCAGTCAGTCGATCTAGTCGCCGGCAGTCGAGGAAGACACCTCTGGAAAGAAGTTTCGTTGGAGTTTCGCTGCTCAGCGTTGCTCAACACGTTAGTGGACAGTTGTTGTTGTTGTGAGCTGGTGAAATTCAATGAAAAGTTGGCTAAGTGCTAATCTGGATGAAGTGAAAAGTAAAATTTGTTACTACGACGTCAGTCGGCGTCCAATCGCTGCTTAATACGTTATTTCTTTGACCATCTTCGTACGTCGGCTACGTGAAAAAGCACTCATTACACCACGGTGCAAACGCGGCCGAAACTTGCAACGCTCGACGCAGTGCAGGGCGGCGCGACGCCGGTCGTCATCCTCATTTGTCGGAACTAGACTCTGCAAAATATACCCGAGTCGAGCGAGTGTCAGAAGTCTGTGTTGGCACTTGGAGGTCGTCGCAGTGTTGTGATTTACGAGTACGGCTTCATCGTATGTCGTATTTG